AGGAGCTATGACAACAGTGTGGTCAGTGAGCAGGAGTGATACTTGTATCGCACATTCAGACACGAGCCTGTTTCTGTTCAGCCTGCTGGAGCGGCCCGCAGCCCCGCCGTGTTCGGAGCAATGGTCACCTACGTCAGAGAGGTCTTGGATGTGTTTGGCATCGACCTGCACACTAAGGTCAGCACTTTTTCACTGTGATGGCCCTTCAGCGGGCAGCATGAGGCGTCTGTCAGTGAATCATGATAATAACCCTTGATTGAAGAGGTCTCCCGTCTGTCTCCCGTCCTCTGAAGGAGGCTGAGGTGCTGAGCAGCCGTGGCAGTCTGCAGCCGGTTGTGGAACAGCTGACTCAGTTCAGGAGCAAAGTTCGAGAGTTTGCGCTCGCTCGTCAGGACAGTTCGTCCACAGGATCCGCGAGCAGAGCTGGACTCTACCCTGACAGGATCCCTCTGCTTAAAGCCTGCGATGCCCTCAGAGATGACCTGGCGCCCCTGGGTGTGCTGATAAAGGTACGACGAACACAAGGTTAGCTCAGTGCATTTCCTGTTTCGGGCTACACTGGTGGGATTGTCTTGTGTTTTCAGGATAGAGGAGCCACCTCCACGTGGGAGATCAAAATGAGCGCGAGAGGACAAGGACCGGAGGACAAAGGCGAGGAGACGTCCAGCTAAAGGTTTTTCCCTTTCTGACAATGATTCAGCTTTGTGGACTCGACAGAAAGACTTAGAATAACAAGAAAACAGCACGATGCCATAAAACAGAAGCTCAGGGTTTGTTTGGTAAGCCACGTGCTGTACCTGCCCGTCACAGTGGCTCCACCTCTGTCATGTTACAGGGCTCCTTTATTTATAAACCCGATGGTTATCCAGTACTGGACTAAATCTGAGCTGCTGTAATGCTCAGTTGGCTGTACCTGCAGTATCATCAAGGTTTGATACCCACCTCACCTTATTCACCCCCCAAGGCTGATGCTCACCATCCTGCTGGAGCTGTGGAGGTCTGGCAGCATACTCCACTATCACTGTATTTGGCATTGATACATTAAAGTTTTGCTGAAAGTGCTGCAAAACTGCGCAGTCTCTTTATGGATTCATCTCTGAGTACAAGGTCTGAGAATAATACTTCCTTCATGAGTAGCACACAAAGCTTCTGGGTAGTTTAACCATTACCAATCAAAGCTGACACAAATGTGTGGA